GCTGCCATCCAGAGGGACCTGGACCGACTGGACAACTGGGCGGTGAAAAACCTCATGCAATTCAACAAGGCCAAGTGCAAGGTTCTGCACTTGGGGAGGAATAACCCCAGACACCAGTACAGGCTGGGGACCGACCTTCTGGAGAGCAGCTCTGCGGAGAAAGACCTGGGTGTCATGGTGGACGACAAGTTGACCATGAGGCAGCAGTGTGCCCTCGTGGCCAAGAAGGCCAATGGGATCCTGGGGTGCATTAAGAAGAGCATCTCTAGCAGGTCGAGGGAGGTGATCGTTCCCCTCTACTCAGCCCTGGTGAGGCCGCATCTGGAGTACTGTGTCCAGTTCTGGGCTCCACAGTACAAGAGGGATGTGGAGCTGCTGGAGGGAGTCCAGCGCAGGGCCACAAGGATGATCAGGGGCCTGGAACATGTGCCCTATGAGGAGAGGCTGAGGGAGCTGGGCCTGTTCAGCCTGGAGAAGAGAAGGCTGAGAGGGGACCTGATCAGTGTATACAAGTACCTCAAGGAAGGCAGTGAGGAGGATGGTCCTGGCCTCTTTTTAGTTGTGGCCACTGACAGAACTAGAGGTAATGGCCACAAACTGAAGTACCAAAAGTTCCACAGGAACTTAAGGAAATTTTTTTTAACAGTGAGGGTGACAGAGCACTGGAACAGGTTGCCAAGAGAGGTTGTGGAGTCTCCTTCTCTGGAGATCTTCAAAACCTGCTTGGATACAGTCCTGTGCCACATGCTCCCCTGTGCTCCATGCGTGTGCAGGGGGGTTGGACTAGATGACCTCTAGAGGTCCCTTCCAACCTTAAGCATTCTATGATTCTATGACTCCTGTCCAATGAGCTTCCGTCTTTTGAAGAGGATGGGAAGGTGGGAAGGATCAGTAGTGCTGGGGAAGGTAGGCTAAGGGTAGCATATTTCTAGGTAAGACACTGTTTAGTAGCAAGACATGGCAATGCTGTATATGATTGGGACGTGGAACCCAGCTCTTATATTCAATGGGCTGGTGCTATAGCAACATAGTCAAGTTTAAAAAAAAAAAAAAAAGTAGAAAATTTCCCTTTTTTTCTGTCACATTTTCAACAAAAACAGCTCCTTCTTATCTCTGAAGCAAGGTTGTCAATGTGCATCCTGATTGCATCTAGGCATCTTGCCACCCAGAGAGATAGGATTTAAACAGTGTAATATCTTTTAACTCTTTTCTTTTCTTTTTATTTTTTTTATTGAAGATCCCCTCACCTTCTGATAGGAAATTACTCCAGGTGGAAGCTGAGGTGAGTCTTTGCTCCTAGCCAGAGCCTTTAGGCTTCCCAGCAAGTGGCAAACTGGTTTAGGAGCTGCAAAGTATCCCCAGTTAGCATGTTTCTGTCTATGTGGAAGATAGCCCAGAGGCCTCAGGCTCTGGAATGATCCAGTCCTTCTGAACCTACAGCCATAAATTCTTCTCTACCCCTCTGTCTTTCTACTCCAGCATTGAATTTAAGACACAATTTCTTCTTATGCTCAATAACTTAGGTGGTTTGTCCTCAGTATAATTGCTCTGGTGAATGTTAGGATTGAGGTACCTTGCTCTGTTCATGCGCTGCTTAAGAAATGTAGGTGTCTATCTGAGCAAACTAGCATGTTAAAGTCCAGTGGTAAGTTTCGCACTTAATTCTGGGCAGTGTCAAAAAACATGTAACTGTGTTCTGGTTACTACTGTGTGTGGTAAATAAAATATATATGTATTTCTCATTATTTTTTTCTATTATAGAGTCTTTCAAGTATTGATACAACTACTCTGCCATGTACAAAATTATTTATACAAAGTCTCAAGCCAAATTTCACATTCTGTCACTACAGCTGTCAGTTTTCTCCTCTTTCCCAAAGACTCCCATTAAAGTAGTCTGCATCTGTGCTGGACTCTGCTCACTTTCAATAGCAGAGAGCTAATGCACTTTACTCCAAGGGCACAATGCTAAGTGGCACCGGCTGAGTACCTGTGCTTTACCTTGGGTGTGATGAATCCTTCAAAGATTTTTATGCAGGCTCTGAACCTTTCACATTGGCAGAAACATCATAATGTCATAAAACACTGGGAAATCCCATCAGGCAACTGGGAACAACACTGCTATTTCCCTAAAATATTTTTGAAGCCTAACTGATATATGTGTTTAGGATGCAAGGAGACTGACAGGAGAGTATTATAGCATGCTGTTGTGCCAAATTACTGAGCACAGACATATCCCACCTAGTATCACAGAAATGGACTCCAGCACTGTCCACAAAACAGTTCAGGAAGAGCAGAGACTTGATCTTGAAATCACCCTGTGAGGTGACTCCCCTGGGGCTCTTGACCTTGTAATACATCACCCAAATGCGGGTCCCAGAGCTGCAGCCTGGGTAGACCACCAAAGCCTTACTTTTACTTGCATAAACCAGAGCATGATAAATGGAAATTGCTGTTGTGCTTGTCCCATAGAGAGCAACTACAGTGAGCAAGGACTGTAGCACATAAATGCCTTTGACTAATGGAGGTGAATGAAGTAATATGCCTTTTCCTCCTGCTCATCTCTCTCTTTACTCAGAAATGAGTTTTAGATAATCGGACATGTATACAGGTTAACTTATCTCTTCAATTTCAAATAACAGCCTACGTTTATTACGAGGAGTGTGAAAGAGTCTAAATGGACAGTCCCACCAGCAAGGAAACTGTGAGGGGCTTCTCTGCCCTCAGAAATATTATACATTAGCAGCCTCTTGCCAGGAAAGGAAAAGATGAATGTAAAGAAGTCATCTATTTGGCTTCAAGAAGCAGTGGGCTAGTCTTATTCATTATGCAAACTAAGTAAACACTGTAATGTGAAGTATGTAATGTGTCAGTGAAAGCTGAAGAATCATACACCTTGCCCATTTGCCAGTGTGTGGACCAGTTTGGTTTTCTTTTATTTTATTTTTTTCAGACATACACTTCCTGGCAAATATAAATGTAAGCAAAGCATTCTCATGCAGTGTTTAGTTTATTGCTAAATACAGTGCTTTGGGGAAAAAGGCCAAATACTTATTGAAATGCATTGAATCTCATAAAGTTTGTCTGAATTACGTAATAGTAAAGAAAAGATGAATTTTGGTCCTCTCTAAGGCCATTTCACTAATTTTTCTGATGTTTGTTTACTATACTGCTTACAAGAACGTTGCTGAGGAAAATGACTACAGACTGCATGTAGGAATTATCCTACATATGGCAGGCAATAGCTATTTATTTTATATAAAATTATAAGGCTGGGAAAAAAGAACATTGTCTTTGGAAAATTGCTTTAAAGTTGTTACTTTTTTGTGAGAAGTTTTATATCTGCTTGATAGTAGAGCATGTCCCAAAGTTCTGTGGAATAACTATTACAGGAGTATTTAATATAATTTTGCCTAGGTCTACTATAAAACACATAGTGCTTTCTGTAAAGTCATAAGATGAAATTTAAAACATATGCAGTTCTTCATGCTACACTTGGCCACTTTTTTTTTTTTTTTTTTGATCTTCTCACACTAGGACTCATTGAGGGCCTGAAAATGCCATAGGCTAGAATAAGAAGTTATAGAAGTCCTAATGTTTTTTCTAATTTATGTTGGCTGCTACAGGCTGCCAGGCCAAGATCCCCAGACCACAATGCATCCCACTTCTTAACTTGTTACTGTCACTGATAATACAGTGCTGGTGGTATTATGAAACGTAGGCATCTGTTAACACTGCACATGTCTGAATGCAAGAGAATTGAGGTGTCACCTACCTTCTAAGTCCAGAGTCACCACTGCTGTATCATCCTCTAAACCTTCAATCACCTCACACTTATATTGTCCATAATCCTCCAGCATGATATCTGTGATTATAAGAGAGGCGTCATTCTTGCTGGTCTCCTTCAGAAACACTCTGCCCTGGTAATTTCCATAGCTCTTTTTGTGATGTCCCATTGCAACAAAGACCTCCACTTCTTTGAGGTAATCTGAGGTGAGTTTGGTCCACTTCACCCGGATTTTGTGGGTTCCTAAGCCAGCTGTTGATGTGTGTTCATGGTAAAATTTACATGGCAGTGTGACATTGCCTCCCCGGTGTGTGAAGACTTTAGTTTGTTCTGCTACCACAAGTAGATGGGGTCCATTTTCTTCTAGGATTTAAGGTGAAAAATAAAAACAAGGCTTAGTCTTTTACAGCAAGGATGTATGACCAGCGCATTAGCTATATTGTATCATAAGTCTGCAAGATTAGTTCCTTGTAATCATTTTGTACCTATGCAGCAGTAGGGTATGTAAGCTAGCAGTACATAACTGTTTTCTTGATTGTACACATAGAGACTGGTAACACACACTGGAGTGAGATTAAATAGCATGCTATTTAATGCAGTTTTATTTCTCATGCTCTATATGTAGGAAAGTGCAGTGTGTAGACTTCCAGGGAGAGAGAAAGGGCAAAGTGGTTCCCAGCATTGCCCGCTGAGTAGGTAGAGGCCATCCTATGTCATCCATAGTCATGGTTGTATTGACTGGATTAGTTGTGATGTAGGGGGTTGATCCCTTCTGTCCCTTTCTTTCCTTCCCACCTGCTTAATCTGATAGCAGGACCTCACATGCAGGTATGATATTAACTGCACACTGGGAACTTCCCTTGCATGTTACATCAGCTTCCCTGCCTCAGTTTTCTGTCAGGGATTGCAGCTGGTCTG